TTTTTGCGAAAAGTCAATAAAAATTGTGTTAATATTTCTTTAACAACCAGGTTAAGAACGACATGGCCTTTATATTAAATATGTAGAACGTTTAAATCAGTACATAGTAGTAAATCGGAAGTATCTCAGATAATATCGGCTCTAGTGGACCGCGGGACTATTGAAAAGCATGCGTTAATATTTCTTTAACAACTAGTTTAAGAACGATATAGTCTTTATACTTCATACGTAGATCTTCTGAATCAGTACATAGTAGTAAATTGGAAATATCTAAGATAATATCGGTTCTAGTGGATCACTAGACTATTGAAAGGCATGAAGCAAGACTTGGCCTGCTCTGTCATCTCTTATCTAGTACACATCTACCGCTGCTCAAAGAGAAGCTGTTGCGCTTGCTTGAACATGGCTAAATACCAAATAACGTTATGTCTTGAGCAATTCGAATGGTTACAAAAAGTCCAGAACCATTGTTTACAAATACCCATATCCGTTGGATTTTTCAACATTTATACCATCGCAAGACTTTGCGCTTAGGAACAACAATTTAGAAACAATGTTTTACAGTTATTTCAATTACTTTTTGGTATTAAGCATTTTATTTGGCAAAATCGGTATTATAATGCGCCGACTGACTGTACTCATTATCGAGTGAAGAATGAATTAAGTTTTCACAAACTCTCATGTGTGCAATACGTAATATTGTTTGTCCTTCGCATTAGCCCTATATCATTTACATTTAATTGAAAGTTTCTCTGAAGAACAACAATTTCCCTGACAACAAGACCCTGATTAAAAGTTATGGCCTATCGGGGAAAAAAAATATATTAATTTGAATTCATTTTAACTATGTATGCTTAATAAAATCAAAGTTACTTCAAATAACCAAATTTAATTTAAAAAATAAAAAAAGTCCTCAAACCGGGAAATAGCTTTATTGTTAATCAAAATAATATCATAAAAAATATATAATAAACTAATCCAAATATATGAAATACAATATTAAACAAAATTAAAAGCAAAAATTATTCTTTCTTAATGTGTTTGAGTTGAACTACTTTGACTTTTTTGTGTTTTGAGGCTTTTTCTACTTTCACTAACTGTGAACGTTGCACGAAGAAACCAATATGACCGCATTAAAAAGATTATGCGGAAACTACAAGAGAGTGAGATACAATACTAAAAAATTACATTGCCTTAGCTGAAAAAAAAAATTATAAATCCAATATTTTCATATTTATTTTTTACACGCTTCACTGTAACATAATATAAAAGCATAAAAGTATATTTGCCCCTTTAAGTTTAATTATGCTATTTGTAACGCATAGAAAAATATATCGATAACATTTTAATAGCTTCCCAACCTATTTAAAAAAAAACGACTCTTCCAATTTCTGAATTAGCTGGAAAAAATTTTTTAAACAAATAAAAGTATATTATTTGCACCTTTAAATTTAATTATGCTATTTGTAACGCATGGAAAAATATATCGATAACATTTTAAGAGCTTGCCAACCTATTTAAAAAAAACGACTCTTTCAATTTCTAAATTGGCTGAAAAAAAATTTTAAATCCAATAAAAATATATTATTTGCACCTTTAAATTTAATTATGCTATTTGTAACGCATAGAAAAATATATCGATAACATTTTAAAAGCTTGCCAACCTATTTAAAAAAAAACGGCTCTTTCAATTTCTAAATTAGCTGAAAAAAAATTTTAAATCCAATAAAAGTATATTATTTGCACCTTTAAATTTAATTATGCTATTTGTAACGCATAGAAAAATATATCGATAACATTTTAAGAGCTTGCCAACCTATTTAAAAAAATCGACTCATTCAATTTCTAAATTATTGATTGGAAACTCTATACTGCGTTATTTGTTTATAACAAAAAGTAAACAGGTATAAAAATATTCTCGAATATTACTTCATCGTATAGTATTAAGCCTATATATTTACATCTCTTTCCCCTGATCACTGAAATGAAGTTTCCTCAATGCTGTAGAAACCTTCCCCATTCTCCATCCTAAAGGGTGGTTTTAGTGGGTTCAAATCTCTTCATCGTATATGAATTAGATATATACATACTTGGGCTTGTATTTAAATTTTAAGTACGAATCTTTTAGATTTTACTTCCTTCTTCAAAGAAACGAGAGAGAGAGAGAGAAGAGACTATGATTTTTTAAACAAATTTTAAAGTTCAATGAAAGCGTCGATTTAGATTTGTTTGAGATGCTTTTATTTTAGATTGAATTTTAAAATTTATTTAATTAAAAATAATAGCCTAGTAAAATAGTAATTATAATTAAAATTATTAAAATATGATCATGAAAGAAAGTTAATTGTTCTATTAAAGGTAGCCTCATCTATTTTGAAGATTTAAATTTGATCATGTTGAGATTTCTAATAAAAGTAGAATACTTTATTTACATAGCTGTGTTCATTTTTATAGTAAATACAGATATAGTACACTTACAATATATTTATGGATGTGAAGACTATTTACTATCATATCTTCTATTTTCATTTAATTATTTTTAAACAATTCTCTATCAATTTCAAAATGAATGAAGTATCACGAATTCATAATACAAAATATTTAATTCGATTTATTTTTTTATTTTTGTTGCTTTAAAAAAAAGAGATTATTTTTTTGGTGCCACATTAAACACATAAGGCAATATGTTCTGCAATATATCAAAAGATTTTGTTTTTTTTTTGTTATATGAGAAAAAAAATTGTTTTTAAAGTTTATTGTGTCGAAATGAATAGTTGAAGCTGTGAAGCTGAGAAGTCGTTAAGTATAATGTTACAATGGCACTAGTTTTTAACAAAAAAATGTTAATGCAAACGATAACCTTTTAATCACGGATAGCAAAACCTTTGACTTTTCAACATTTTAGAAGCCAGCACGTATCGCATAAGGTTGACTTTATGCATTTAACATTTTCGAACCAAATTGTGAGTTTTAGGAATGACCCAACCTTCACGCCCATATAAAAAAACTAAAATTTAAGTATTTAAACTACGGGTTTTTCTTTTTTAGTTTATAACATATAAAATTCGTTTAATGTTAAATTATAACTAAACGTCATCCGACATTTCCGCTTAGCAAACATTTTAGCTATTTAAGTACTCTTTTCACTGAATATGTGTGAGGGACATGCTGGCATCCAAGGCAATGAAATGGCAGACAAACTTGCAAGAAGAGAAGCGGCTTCAAAAATGATAGGCTTAAACTCATTCTGTGATCTAGGCAAAGGAACTCCATCCATTCTTATGAACGGCGCAGAGAAAAAAGAAAAAGAGAGCTCTGTTGGTGAAGGCTTTCAAGACTATCACAATCTAAAATGCTTTTAGAGACTTACAACCTAAAACGCATCAAAGATTGCATAGCATAATCAAAATATAATCTTAGAATTATTGCGAGATTATTGACCGATTACTGCAGATTGAATAATCATCTATCGAAGTCAGGAATTCAATCCAACTCAGGTTGTAGATACTGTAGAGAAGAGAAAGAAATTGCATACCATGTGTTTGGAAGCGCCCAGTACTGATGCACAAACAAAAGAAACACCTAGGAGGATATTTCATGGATTATTAGGATCCAAGACTAGAAAAAATAGGCTCTATACTGTTTGTCATTAAAGAAATTGGAATTGGAGAAACACTCTAATCCGACTAAGGGGCACAATAGATGCCACAATAAAACTTTTTTCGTTTTATTTGACTTAAAATGAAAATCTTAGTGTTTTGTTGTTTGAAAACTGATTCAATGATTAATTTTACTTAAAAGATTCATCGAAGTAGTTCATTAATAAAGCTTTTTATAGTTCGGTAGCTCACAGAATAAATGGTTTGTTTATAAAAAAACAATTCGACTTTTTAAATATACAGCATCTCAGCTAAGTACCTTAAAAATGTATTAAATGGTATTAAAATAAAAGTTTCTGTTGTACTTTTTTTTATAGTAAATTTTATATTTTTAGTACTTATAGTTAAACTTATTAAAGTTAGCTAACCTAATAGAAACAATTGATATTTACATATGTACTTATTATTTATTTTATTTTATCTATAAAGAAAACGTACTCATATATATGTTAAAGTCTATAAAATCTTTTTTTGTTTTATTGTCTCTTTTAAATAAATTTTATCGGGTAAACTAAGCAATAAATTAAATGTTTAAATGCACAATAAATGTCACTTTTAATATAATGCTTTCTCTCCGAAATAATGGGTGCGAAAATATGCAGCTTTTTTTTTTAATTGTTGCTCAAAACCACAAATTGTAAAATTTGTCATCAAGTAAAAGTAGATATGAGGTTTTGATGAAAGAAACTCACATATATAATTTGTTTTTATAAAAATTAACACATGCTATATGTAAAGTAAAAAAGTTTTTAGTATTTTATCTGTGACAGTTCTATATATAGTTCTTCTGTGATCTGTGACAGTTCTATAGATTATAGTACTTCAAAAATACTGAGGATGTGACCATCATCAATGACTGAAATACTGAAATTGCTAAATAAAAATGACAAAGAAACAAATATATTTATAGATCCTAAATCTATACCTAGAAATACGTAGAAATTTGATACCAAATAATTACTATCAAATTAATATAGGATGTCTTTTACAATTAATATATAACTAATATTAAAAATATATAAGAATTAAATATCTTCTCAATGACAAATTGCATCATGGAAGAACAATATTTTTATGAATAAATATAAAATATAAAATATAAAATATAAAATATAAAATAAATATAAATATAAATAAATGTGCAATATATTTTTGCATACTAGGATTTTACTCCAATATTGATTTAAGCTTTATTATAAAAATGATTTATATTAATTAATATAAACTGTACTTTGTTTTCTTATAGTTTTTATTTTATTTTTTAATCACAGTTGCATTTGCCTTTTTAAAAATTACGTTCATAAACTAAAATAAAAAATTATTATTCAAAATATTTATTTACTACTATTAACATCATATTTTCGGTTTCCTGATTTTATTTAAAAATTTCTGTAAAATGGACAATAATCGTTTTTTCAATTTTCTCAAGCATTTCCAACAAAAGAGTCCTGAATTAACACCGATGGAAGCAATTACCTGCGGTGGAATTTTATGGAAGTGTTTTCAAGAAAGTGAAAAAGAAGAATTTTTACCATTTAGTTACTCTATATTGAAGGGTGACTCTACTGAAATACTTCTTCCTATTGCAAAGCCCAAAACCTGTAGAGGTAAAAAAAAACGCAAACCTACTAGGAGGGGTGGCGCAAAGAAATGGTGGCCAAAAAAAAGTCAACTGGTTCCCCGACGTGTAGGAACGATCAAAAACAATAAGAAAAAATTTTTCGATACCGATTAATGGTAAGATGAGTTCCAATATACTAAACAATTTTTAAATAAAATAATATTTTTATAATTGACAATTTTAAAATATTTTTTTACATATTTTTTTCTTAGAACATTTTGTAAACCATCTATAAAGGTTTTACGGTATCAGTAGTACCTAATATATCCACAACCTGAAGGGCATAAGTAAATTTCTTATTTACCCTGGTTTAAATTTGCTTTGATACAAGCAATTTGGTGTTAAGGTAGTTACTAATTTTAAAATCCACTCTTGTTTTTTTTTAATTTTATATATGCATAAATAATATATGTTAACATATTTAATTTATTATTCGTATAGACTATAAAGGACGATAAAGGACGACAAAGGACGAATAATCTGGACTACATATTGGTATTAATAACTTCACATTTTCATAATTATTATTTTATATATTTTACTATTTCAATGTAATAAATTTATATTTTAGGAAATCGGTGAGGATTACGTAAAGTATTTCTACTTTTGAGAAAACGAAATTTAAAAGTGATTAAAAATATTTGGAAGCACGAGCATTAATAAAGATTTTTAAAGAGTATTTCATTTCATTTTTTTAATTTTTAATATCTTAAGAAAATCGAACCCAGTATAGATAGTATTAATTGATTGATCAATTTAGTAATATAACATTAAATAAAAATTAATAACTTTTCTTTAATATAAAATGACTGAAAGGATAAAATGAGCAATGCATTTTATATATTTTTGAAGCTCTGTGTAATAGTGAATATTGAAATTATATTACCAACGAATATTTTTCCATCAATACCATAAGAAAATAAAATTAAAAAATAAAAATATTAAAAATATTAAAAAATAAAAATATAAAACAGAATACCTATATTGAAATTTAACAATTAAAAATAAAAATACGATTAATTATTTAAATTATTCTACAGCAGTCTAATGATTTCGTACTAATATAAACACAGCAAGATTATTAATTAAAAATGTTCACATCAAAGTACCAAAACTCTAGAAAAATGAACGAACATTGAAGTCAAGTACGGTTTTAGGTTAGTTGGTTAAACTGCGCTGACTCTGAGCTTCAAATTTGGCAGGGCACGAGTTCGATTTCTGGTACTTAAAAAGTTATTTAAAAAGTTATTTACGAATAATTAAATATAAAAAATAATTCCAAGACCACTGATGATGGGTATTTGGCAATACTCGAAAGAACTGTATGGTCAGCCAAAAATTTAATTAATTAAAATAATATAAAATGAATTTTTGTTGTTGTAATTCACTACTATTCTAAAGCTTTTAATTCATTATTATTTCATTATTAGATGATTAATAATAATAAGAAATTAAAGATAAATTAAATTAAAAATTAAAGATAAATAAAAAAAAAAAGAACAATAAAAAAAAATTAAATAGCGAAGGTGTTTAAAAATCAATTTGAATGAATATTAAAATGCAATTTCCTTGCATTAAAATTTATTATTGACATTTAAATTAACAAATGAATAAAGTACGCCGTTTTTGCATATTAACAACACTGCACTCACAGCAACGATAATGTTCGTCATTATAGCTTTTGCAACATACGAATCAATGTGACGTGCTCAATACGCCAATACACCAATACGGCAATAACCAAAATAGCCTGCCTATGTAAACAACATCGTGATCACCATTGGCTGATGGTTGATGAGTCATCAAAGCAAAATTAACGATGCTACTGATATGATTTACTCTGCGCGTTTATTAGCATAGCTTTGCATTTAAGCTAGTGTTGGGCAGTGTATGCAAGACAAAATATGGTAAGATGGAAAAGGCTTTGAAAAAGGGTTGTAATTTATTAGGTAGTTGTATAGTCAGTACTAACTAATGGCATTGTAATTGCAAGTTTCAGTACGTCTCAACATATAAGAGTCAAAAATTGCAGATATATTCTTTAGATATATAATATTTAGAATATATGTACATATTTTTTTTTTGTTTTTAGAATGTAAATAGAAATTTGTATGCTAACATAAGATTTGTTCTACACAGAAAATCGTATGCTTTCAGGTGTAGGAAATATGACAAAATAATATTTACTTATTTCATATTTAAGTGAACACTATGCCAAAAATATAAAATACTATAAATAAAACAAAAATGTACAAAAATACTAAAGAAATAACAAAAAAAAAATTGTTTATATAGAATAAAGAAGCAACATTGGGTATGACGCATAGCTTTAAAAAACGACAAAAAATATTGTTACTGATCAATCAGTAATTAACAGCAGAAAAACGTAATTAACTTTTTATGCATTACGACCCAATTCATGTAGAGGTGTTGAAGGCGCAAAGGGGGGTCGCATTCACAAACACACTACATATACCATACATAATAAGTAAAGCCTAAGCAACGCATAATAATTGTGTTTAAATAGACATGATTATGTGACAAGCCATTTAAGGTTCATACAACTCGAAAACAGCAGTCATATGAACAGACCGACAAGTATGCGACAAGTAAACAAGCGCATTGATATGCATTTGTCCAACACAAATTGTTTAGCGCAATTGACTGCTAAAACGGTTGAAAATTGCTAATCAAACGTTGCATTAACGTCAAAATGTTGCTAAAAATAATTTACAAAAATAAAAATAAAAACAAATAAAAAAAAATAATAAAAAAAGTAAAAATAATAAAAAAAAATAAAAAATTAAATAAAAAAATATAAAAAAAAAATAAAATTGAATTAAAAAAACAAAATAAATAAACTAAAAATAAATAAAATAAAATCAAAAAAAAAAAAAAATTAAAAAAAAAGAAGATAAAACAAAACAAAAAAAGATATAAAAAAAAATTGCAATGACATTTAATTTAATCAACATTAACCACGTTAATGTTTTGTTTACTATTTTTTTTGTTGTTGTACGAATACTTTTGGCGGTACATGTTTCATACTTGTTATGTGTGCCTTGCTATGAATTCCATTGGGAGCAATAATATGCAATACAAGTGGGAGTTTAAACATTTCTAATAAATCAAAGAATGACTAAAAACAAAAAAAAAAAAAAAATAAAACAAATTAAATGTTTACAAAAAATAAAAATGGCAATACCACAAATTTGGGCGCATGACGGTAGTTGCACATGCGTTTTTATGCCTACGCTACCGCACGAAATTGTCAACATGCAATTTGTTGGAGTTATTCATGCACACGATAAACCCATAAAAACGAAAGAAATAACAAAACTAGATCGAATCGCAGATAATAGATTTATTCTTTAAACATAAATATAGCTATTACATGGAATTTTATTTTGCAAACTGTACGAGTGAGTAGTCATGCATAAGTCATGCACGACAAAGTTTACACAGTGCCCTACTAAATTGAAAAGCATAGACTTTCCAACTTTTTGTTTAAAATTATTGCTTTTTTAAAAATGAAAATTCTATCATTTTTTCTTAATTAACCGAAAAAAAATTTTTCAAAAAATTTTTCACGGGGCAGTACGCAGATCTTAGATCAATTATTGAATAATCTCAAAGATTATGAGGAATACTCAAATTAGTCAAAGAGATAGGTGGGACTCTGCAGAAACCCCCAGTTATCAAACAGAGTAAAAGTGCTCAGATGCACTAACTCGGAAAAGGCTCAACATATATACTTTCCCTACAATAGAGAAATATAATTTGATTGTAATAGTATACCTCAAGTATCTAAGTAACAGTTAAAAAATAAAAAATATATTTTTATTCGATTTTTATGCAGAACTCTTTAAACATATTTCAAAGAGAATACAAACATTCTGGAATAAATATGCAGAAATGTTAAAAACAAAAAAAAAGCAACAATTTATACTGATTAAGTTAACTTATATAGCTGTAGTTTATGCGTTAATGCTAATTACTAACACAATAAGTATACGGATTAGGTGCCAGTTCGGTGTTAAAATTTAACAAGGTGTGATTATTGATATTTGATGTCTAAACAGAATATACGCATAAATTAACCAACCTATGTTACCAACGACCACTGATGATAGATAGTTGGCGGTATCTAAAATAAAATTAACTAAATTGATTAAAAGTCAATTTTATCACCTTTTAATTATTTTAAAGAAAAGAATAAAAATAAGACATCTTAGTGGTCTCCGAGATTCCAGAACAATATTCAAATATGTATAAGTACACATTTGAGCGTCACGAATTCATCTAAGATCTGTCCATTGGCTAAAAAAATTGAGCTTCTGAGCATTGCATTTTGTGCTATCATTATTATTGTTGATATAACTAGTGCTATTATACAGCACATTGATAAATTTACACAAATATTTCACTAAGTGCGTTCATATAACCGTGTACATAAACGCATAAAATTATACATTTGATAAATTTATATGCTTAGATGAGTACTCGTTATATGACAATGTGATGAGAAGACAATGTGATGAAGATAAATAAAAATAAATTGGTATGGTTATGATATCAGAGGCGCCAGAAGTTGACTACGCATTTTGATAAACTGAGCAATTTTTTCGATTCGGTTCTGGAAATAATATGTTTTAATTTACTGGTAATTGTTAATCGCTATCGTTTGTTACTCGGCTAGCTGAAGGTGATACAATCAATAAATTTATGAAAAAGCAGCGATTAAGATGGGTTGAACATGTGATAAGAATGCCGGATATGAAAATACCGCTTAAGATTTATAATAACGATGTAGGAACGAGCAGAAGAAAAGGGCGATGAAGAAAGAAAACGATGGAAAGACAGTGTACAGCAGGATTTGGAAGAAATTAACATAAGAAATTGGAAAACAAAAGCAAAAAAACAGAGAAGAATGGAAGATTGTTTTTAAACAGACTTAGGTCCTACATGGACTCCATAGTCACGGACGATGATAATGATGAGATGTCGTTAATACTTTTTATTCGTGTAATAATTTGAATATTTAAACTTTTAAAACTAGATATCTAGATATTCAAGCTATAGTATGGCACTGAAATAAATTGCTCAGAATAGCGAAATTTGTTGAAATCTAGTATCAATTCAAGACGTTTCGGACTTGTATTAAAGCCAATGGAAAAAAAGTTAAAATTTTTTTTTTATACAACAGGTGATAGATGATTAATTGATTATGATTAAAAAAATCGATTATATTAATGCTGATTAGTGGACATTTGGAAATAAGTTGCCAATAATTGTAAGGTATAGTGAAAAGTTGTTATAAAAGTCAATATTTTTTTCAAGCTAGAATAACAAAAAGCATATTATATATATATGGTATATAACTCTTACGTACATAAATCATTAATGTGGTTTGTGTTTGGAACTATATAATGTTTAAACGCCAATATAATTAGATGATATATACATGTTATTCCATGCGAGTTAGGTTTGCGTGCTAATATTTAAGTTTTTAAAACTTTTCCCTGTCAAAAAAACTGTCAGAAACTATTAAACAAAGAGTGGTTTCATATGCAAATATAGTTGCATGTCCATATTTAGGGGAATATATAATTTAATTATGGTTGCACCGTTGGGAGTAGGTTAGTAACGAAAATATTCGTTCCGAATGAATGCAAATAA